ATGGAAATCCTTGATAAAAGTATAATAAATTAAAGCTGTTGTCTGTTTATTGTTTATAATGTTGTATTTTTCATTTTATTAGGTTAATAATAATGAAATGGTTGCATTACAACGAGATTCTGATAACCCCTATGATAAAAATGCAATTAAAGTAACCAATGTGAATGGAAATCAAGTTGGCCATGTGAAGAAAGATCTTGCAGCTGCTTTGGCTTATATCATGGACAACAAATTAGCACAAATTGAAGGGTAATGTACTTTCAGAGTTTAATAATTGTGAGTTACAGTCATCTTTGAATTTGTTAGGGCTTGTGTTTTGTGCCTGTGAAGGTGTACTGACAACTTCTGTCATTCTACCTTTGGTGTGTGTTCAATAAAGGTTTTAATTTTCCCCTAATCTGCCTTTACTACCTTGGCCATCAAATAGTTACTCTCTCATTTTTCCTACTGAATTGTTACTATGGAGAAAAAAAGACTTTGATTCAAATGTTAGGAAAGTATACTTCATATTTCTAAGCCTTTTGATGCCTAGGTCTAGTAGTTTGGAAGTATTTGTTAAAATCAAAAGTTACAAGCTGTTGCCTGTGGTGAGATGCAGGTGAGTTTCATTTTACCTCTACAGTGTTATAGAAATTTGTTCATATAATTCCAATATTGAGATATGTATATATTCTACATTATATTAATTTGTTTCCCTAAATATAAAATTTCTTTACTAAGATTTTGTCTTGACAAATGGAAGATCTGACAGTGTTAGAATCATATTTCCATATGTTCATCAGTTCAGTGAAACTCTGTAGTAGCTATTTCCGTAGCTAGGGCATATGCTGTTGCAGTTCTACCCTCTCCTTATTTCTTTTTTGTTTTTTTGAACTCTCAATCTCCCAGGGCAGCAGTATTTTTTGGCTCCAGTGACTGGTTTCATGGAAGATGGTTTTTCCATGGATGCAGGAGTTGGGGAGATATGGTTTAGAGATGATTCAAGTGCATTACATTTACTGTGCACATTATTTCTATTATTATTACATTGTAATTTAAAATGGAATAATTGTTCAACTCACCATATTACAGAATCAGTGGGAGCCCTGAGCTTGTTTTCTTGCAACTAGATGGTCCCATCTGGTATTTGCAACTACTCTTCAGCACTAGCATCGCAGCCTGAGCTCCATCTCAGGTCATCAGACACAGATTTTCGTAAGGCACATGGCCTAGATTCTCAGATGTGCAGTTTACAGTAGGGTTCATGCTCCTGTGAGAATCTAACGCTGTTGCTGATCTGACAGGAGGCAGAGCTCAGGTGGTGATGTGTGTGATGGGGAGTAGCTGTAAATACCTATGAAACTTCTTGCTGGCCCTCTGCTTACCTGCTGTGCAGCCCAGTTCCTAACAAGCCACAGACCATTCATTACTGGTCTGCTGCCTTGGGATTGTGGACCACAGTCCTAGAGCTTATAGTTTCCCACTTTCAAACTTTTTGCTTTCTGCTTTCAAACTCAGTCTCTTCTCAGTTACCTTTTGTCATTTAGATGTTTGTGTTTCTGATCTCCATTTAAGTATTTAAATGTTTAGGATCTTTGTATCCTAATACCAGTGTTTATAATATTCATATCCTAGTTCTAGTTGAATTTGAAAGATAAAGTAAATGCTCAGTAATGTCTCACTATGTTTTCTTCTTTTTCAACTCATTAAGTTTTTCAGATATTGGGAACAAACTTGTAGTGAATTTGGATTAGAAGTACTTCTTGCAAATTATTCTCCATTCTTTCAGCAGATTGAATTGTTACCCTCAGTGATTCTTTTTAGCCAAAGCTCTTTGTTCTCAATTTAACTTTTTTACTTACCTTACGGTCTTGTTTATAGACTGTCTTGGATTTTAAAACTGCTTCATCCCATCTCAGTTTTTTTTTGCATTCTGTTCCCAAAAACCAGCCTTTTCTTCTTATTGTGATGATTCTTATTCCACATCATTTTTCTCTCTTTTAAGTCTGCCTAGCTAGTTCCTTATTTTACTTCTATGTAAAGTTTGAATGGTACCTTTAGAATATTTAACAGTAAATAGAGATAAAATAACACTTGTAATTTCTCATTTTTTTTTTCTCCTATATGTATATATAGGGTAGTTCCTTTTGGTGCAAACAACACTTTTACCATGCCCCTGCATTTGACTTTCTGGGGAAAAGAAGAAAATAGAAAAGCAGTTTTAGATCAGTTGAAGAAACATGGATTTAAATTGGGTCCTGCACCAAAAGGTAAGTCTAGGGTTTAACTTAATATTATTTTGATATTGTAAGATACAGGGATTGGAAATATTTCATCTCTGTTTGAATTTGGTTGACCAACTTAAATTGTACTGAAGACTCTTAAGTTATAACTTTTTGTCTGGAATCTGAGGAAATCTCTGATTTTTTAAATTTTGAAGTAACTATAAATTTATACATCATCTGACATTTAAATTCATAAATGATCCTAGAAGAAGTGCTACATACCTTATTGCTAACTATCACTGTCGTCACCTTCAAAGTATTCCTCTTGGGAAGCTATGCACCAGTGCCAGAACCTAGTCTATGCCAGTAATTTTGAAACTCTTTCTGGAAAGACCATTAAAGCTGTTGTCTTACAAAAGTTCTGACAATTAAGTTTGTGAACTTGCCACCACGTGCTTACATTGGCAGCACTGTACAAACAATTTGGTAAGATTTCATAACCTTGGTATATCTGTATCTCACAGCTGTGTTTGTGTTAATGTGTGGCTATATCTTGCTA